CTATCACGTGACAGTTTTTTTCCGTTGTTTTATCAACATTATCAGTGACTAAATGTTGGTTGTTTACGATTGGTGCATGAGGCCCATTCACGTGGAGGTCTACTAGTTAATTATTCCAGTAGTTCGTGGAATACCTATTCAGGTCTCGCGGAACACTGGGATGATTGGCCACCTCAGTGTAACTACTGTAACAATAACAATATAGATTTTTTTTTTTTTTTTTTGCAAATAAGAACAACTTTCACACACGAAAACACAAACACACTCACAACCATCGCTTTATGAATTAGACTTCTTTAGATGTACTTCTCGATGACGACAGCTGATATTGTAACACTCTGACCGAAAGTGGGATGAAGGAGTTTTTAAATCTTTCTGTTTTAGTCCTAATGGAATGGAGAAGACCACTTTGTTCAGATCTGATGTAACAGTGATTTAATGGGTGCAGGTTGTCTTTAAGAATCGTGTGTTTTGGAAAGGCATCTTTCATGAAAAACCTCTTCAATAGATAGCTGTGTTCGAGTGATTTACGATGTTTTTTTAATAATTCTATGTCTTTTTGCCCGTGAAGTATGTAAATTCATACAGAATGACTGGATTTGTTCTTTGCCACACTCAACCTTCGAGTTTCTTGGGAAATTGAAGAGAGAAGGGGGGGGGGGGCTCGATCATGTTCTTTAACTCGGCAATCACGGGTACTTTCCTACCTACCTACCTACTGTACCTACCTATCTATCTACATGGAGAAATACAATTCTTTACGTGAACCCATGCCTACATGTGTTTAGTTCTCGAAGCAAAACCTTTATTATAAGCCTATTATGAGCTCAGATACACATCATATGGCATGGAATTAGTGGATTGTATGGTAAGCCAGGGACATTGTTTACTCCCAGTTCGCCCCTGACTCCTAAAACAATCCTTCCCTCTTGCCGCCGTAAATCGGAGCCAGCTACGGCCCTAATACTTCCCCAATCAAACAAACAAAAATAGAGCGCGCTACACTCCCAAGGCCAAACAAAACTGAAAGATGTATGCATCTTAATTTTCTCCCTTTGTTTTTAACTAAAACATATATCGCCTTGTGAATATATCTATTTATAGAATTATCATGTACTCACTCACTTGTTAGCAGTGCACCATATGATAAAGTGTGCTGTGTAGTGCCCTAATTTTCACAATACGAAACAATCCTCAGGGGAGGCCTGCTCAGAAAGATGTATTTTATTGTGTTTTAAATCACGTAGGAACTAATTCACCTGTGAACAGAGAGTTATCGACTGGAGTCCGATGTTAACAGTGTTCACATTCATAATGATGCCTCGATCGATAAGTTACTTTGCCTCTGTTGCATTTTAATAGCGCTGTGTCGGTTAGGTAGATCTCCATACACCCAGATTCTGTGTAAAATATAACCCAGATATATCCAGACAAATGCATGTAGTTTATTTCAAAATGTAGTACTGATGTGAAATCAGTTCGTTGAGCAAAGAAAAATAATGTTCGGGCTAACATTTAACATGGATGTTGATTGGTCAGAAAGCGGCCTATCAGTTGTTTACTTACTAGGACGTCTACTGTAAGGGATGAATGCATCTCTGTGATGTTGTAAAATCTTCAGGTCTCAACCCAGCGTTTCTCAAACTGTGTGGGTGCCACCAAACACTCATCCACACCCAGAGACGTCTTGACATTGGGGAAGGCCCGGTCAATTAACTTATTAATGGACAATAAAATATGTTCATTGTAGTTAGCCTTCTCAATACTCTATGATCCTGCCACTGGTCTGGACCATTTATGAAAGTGGTAGGGAAGAAAGGGGGGGGGGGTATCTTTGTGAATGTTTACATGATCGTTTTTTTTTATGCATAAATAAATGTTTACTCAGGGCGCGAGTCCTCAAGGGAACTAATTCAACTTATACCACCACATCTGTCAAGTACGATTTCTTTCCCTTGTTCAAGATACCAAACAAATAATTAATTACCAACAGTTAATTATTTAATTGTTGCTTTTTTAATTGATTGTAGGTTAAAATAAATATTTGTGCAAAATTCCGAGCTTATTCCGAGATTGGGTTTGGGAGAAATAACGTGTAAAAGCTTTTTAGGTGGGAGTGGTGACACAATAATTTAGAGAGACCCTAACTCTAGCAACGCCTTTGATTGGAACTCACAAAAAAAAACATTGTCAGCAGTCTATTGCGTATTTTAATCTACCATTCTGCACTTACATTTACTCATTTTAAATTTCTGAAAACTGGTGAAATAGTTTTAGAATAAGTTGACAATGATTCGCTGTCACGTTGATGATCAAGTTTTTAAAAAGTTTCGTCCAGTGGACCTTATTGTGCGTGTGTGTGTGTGCTGTGGGTGTATGTGTGTTTTTCGAGTGTATGTTTATGTGATTGATGGCCAGTCTTTAGGCACGACTTGGTCGAAGTCGAATACGAGAGGATCTGAGTCTTGTAAGGCATGACACTAATAAGAAAAGACTGTCCTCAAAACACAGTAAGAAAAAAGAAGGAAAATGTAAAAATACTTTTTTAAAAAAGAAAACCGAACTTATATAACGGAAAGAACTGCACATTCACAGCCATGTTTCTCAATAGTGTAGTATGTCTCCCTTTTCTAAATCAGACAAAATTAACAGATTGCTACATATTAATTAATTAACTAGTTAATTTGTATTTATTGATTCGTGTTCTTGTTGTTGTTGTTTTGGAGGTAAGGGAGGCAACTTGACCCGAGAAATGGAAGTGGGAGAAATAACGTGTACAAAATTTGTACTGGAAAGACAAGAAAGTAAGTTAGCCTTAAATATAGAGACTTGAGGCTAACAGTAAGTCATTTCATTCTACATCTAACTACTTTGGTTCGGGAGAAATCGTTATAGAAATTATGTTAGGGAAAGAGATGCGCGCTTATGACTATATCTCTCAATAATGTTTAAGTTATTTCCCTTGTTTAATTTCAAACAAAATAATTAGTTACCAATAATTCATTGACTACTTGGTTGTTGTTTTTTTTAAATGATTCGTTTTTTGTTAGGTACAATAAATAAAAAGTTTCAACTTCATCTGAGAATTGGTGTGGGAGAAATAACGTCTTCAATTATATAGGGGGGCGAAATCCACATATTTAGCAGTAACTTTGAATACTGAATTTCCCTTCTTGGTATCAAACCAAATAATTAATTAGCAGTAATTAAATGACTAATTGGTTGTTTTTTTCTTATTGATTTATGTCTTGTCTATACCAAAACAATTATTGTGCAACTTTTCAACTTGATACGACAATGGGTGTGGGCACTGTTTGAGAAATAACATGTACAAACTTTCTACCAGACATACAGAGTGAGTTAATATAGTAAAGTTTTTCAGACCTTGAGATCTATAGGGCAGATGATTCTGTGGCCTACGGTTAACAAGGGTGTCATGTGGCCAGCACAACGACTAACCACCTTTACTTTTCCCCCAACTAATGTCAGGTACCCATTAGAGCTGGGTGGACTCAGAGGCGACCAAAGATCCTGAAATTTAAAATCCCATTCTTCACCAGGATTCGAACCCGGGACCCCCGGTTCAGAAGCCAAGCGCTTCCACCGCGCCTCCATAATATAATATAATATATAAGCATTGTAAAATTAAGAGAGTGGGTGACAAGATACCCAGATCTGGTGTAAAATACATGGCGTTTGAAACACTTGGTAATCATTGCAACCTTTTTTCTCGTACAAAAAGAAAAGGTTTCAAGGCAATGTGAACGTGATGGACCACTGGATCAATATGACAGCCTATTCCTATCACCACCCGTGGATGTCAGTAAGCACTTCGCTGAGTCAGGACGAGGCCCGCCACTTTCACCTATTTACCTCCACGACCTTGACGACAGGCTGTTGGAATAGTTTGTGCTTTAATGACTGTGCATCATGTGTACATGCAAACCTGAGAGTCTTGTGTGCAATAACGATCGTGAACCAGCCCAACAGGTCGAGTTTTGAGACACAGTCTTTCTGGTGACATACCACCAAGGTGAGTGACATGCCATGATGGTGTAGAGACTATGTGCTCATGTAGGTCGTTGGGTTGTAGCCCCAGATAGCTAGTACACAAAACCTTTGTAGGCGAATGAATTATATTTTTATATTAACTCAGGCTCTATTTCACCCTCACTGGCATGGTCGTAGCAAGGATTTTTTTCTGGAGGGGGGGGGGGGGGGGGTAGGGTTAGGGGGGGATTTTTTTCTTCCCAACGCGCCATGTATATATGTATGTATATATGTATGTATGTGTGTACACGTAATTACTTTTTATTACATTACGACCCTTCATTTTTTCGGAAGACGTTTATTATAACCTAGATTTCCTGGAGTTGGAAAGACTGTAGACACACGGCCTTTGCCAGGGGGTGTCTGGGGAGGGGAGCGCTGTTAGTCGCTAAAATAAACAAAATCTTAGCTAAAATAAACAAAATCTAAGCTAAAATAAACAAAATCTAAGCTAAAATAAACAAAATCTTAGCTAAAATAAACAAAATCTAAGTTAAAATAAACAAAACCTTAGCAAAAATAAACATTATCTAAGCAAAAAAAAAATCTGTCACAAATTCCCCCCTCCAAAGGGATTTATTTTGGGGGTGGGGAAGTGAAGCCCACCCCCTGCGGCTACGCTGGCATAGATGAAAGTAAAAAAAAAGCCAATAGCTCTGAAAGAGACATCTGGGAAGCTCTAAAAAAAAACACGGGACACACGAGATCAAAAAAAAAAACGTGTTGCAGATAAGCGCAGATTCGAAAAAAAAAAATTAAATAGACTCCGGCTTTGTCTGCATTATGTGTGGAACATGAAATTCCTTATGAGATTATTGTATGAGATGATAATAGTAACATTCACTGGCCTATATATGTGGCATATATTCCTTTATATATTTTTTACATAATAGTCTATATAGCTAAGTGATTTTGAATAACCTCTTAGTCTTCAAAAGTTAAAATTATTACCAATCCGCTTTTTTGCTTACATAACAACGAATTACGAAACAGACATCAGATAGTGTCACATAGTATAATTTATAATCACTAGATTCTCTAGATCTAAGTAGAATCTAAAGCTACATCTAGATCTAGCTTTGAAACAAAAGGAAATATATCTGGTAGTTTTGGAATCTTGATCAACCTAGCATATTTCATTATTTCTAAGTTAAGTACCATTAAATGTAACTATTACTATTTGACTAGTCTATCTCAATTGAGTCAATGTAATGTAAGTTACACAGTTACAGTTACACTAGTTTAACAGTTACAGTATGTAGTAATGTAGTAAACTAAGTCTAATATGACAATAGTTTGAATATGTCATTTATTTATGTATGAAATGAAGGTAGTACTAACACTAGTATCTAGATCTAACTAGTAGTGAGTAGTAGGCCTAGATGACAATCATTATGTAACAGATCTAAAACTATTAAAACTAAAGAAATGATTAATGATTTTAGAAAAAACAAAGACCATATTGCAGAAATTCAGATAAACAACCAAACCATAGAACAAGTACAAGAATATAAATATGTTGGCACAACTATCAACAGCAAACTGAAATGGAGTAAACACTGTCAAAATCTATACACAAAAATTCACCAGCAACTCTTCTATCTCAGAAAGCTAAGAAAATTCAACATAGACAAAACAATAGTCAAACTTTTCTACACGCAACCATCAGCAGTTTTATTAACTTTTCCATCACCTGCTGGTGTGGTAATACTTCACTGGCACAAAGACTTAGAATAAATAGACTAATTAAAAAAGCATCGTGTATATCACTCAAGTACAGCTACCATCTCTTGAAGAGCTTTTCTAAGAAAGATGTCTTTCAAAATCACTCACGATTCTTAAAGACAACCTGCACCCATTAAACCACTGTTACATAAGATCCGAAAGAAGTGGTCATCTCCTTTCCATTAGGACTATAACTGAAAGATTTAAAAACTCCTATATCCCACTTTCGGTTAGAGTGTTACAAGATCAGCTGTCGTCATCAAGAAGTACAAAGAAGTCAAATTCGTAAAGTGCTGGTTGTGAATGTGTGTGTTTTTTCGTGTGTCATCGAGAAGTACAAAGAAGTCAAATTCATAAAGTGCTGGTTGTGAATGTGTGTGTGTTTTCGTGTGTGAATGTTGTTGGAATTTTTTATCAATATTGTTTTTGTACAGTAGTTTCACTGAGCTTGTCAATTGTAGTCAAACTGAATTTCCATTAGATTGGATCAATAAAAATTATCTTATCTTATCTTAATAATACATGTAATGTAATAATTTAAATAATCATTTTAATCTTAATGGTAACATTCAAAATCTAGTCTAGAACTAGACTTGCTCATCATATAATAAAGCTTCATTGGGTCATATAATGATGTACTGTAACTATATAATATAGTCTCGTTGGGTCATATAATGATATACTGTAACTATATCCTTATTACTAGTCATAATCAATAGTGACTTTTAGTCATAGTAACAAGGTTACAGATTTTTACTCTGGATATCATTAAGAATACATATAAATGCTTACAAAACTGAATCAGTGTATTATGTGTATATACCGATACCACACGTGAAAAAAGAAGTTTGATCTAAGTCTATTTCATCATCATCTATCTCCATTTAAGTGAGGGCTTGAGAGGCTTAAATCCCCTCTTGCAAAAGCTCTGGACAGAAAGCCTGCTGTCTTGCATAGTGCATACATGTCACCATACAGGTCCAGATTTTTTGGTTTCCCAGACCTGTTGGGGCAGTCAAATAGAATATGAGGCACAGTTTCCTCTTCTTCTCCACAGCGGGGGCACTGTGAATCAAAATTTGGCCATAGCCATGAGAAATATTATCCAACAGGACAGTGGCCTGTCCTGCACTGTGCTATTATAGCTTGCTCAGGCCTGGATAGCCTCCACCACGGGGAAGTGCAGTCAGGGCGCCCGATGCGTTCCCAGACTCCACAGGCTTTTTGGGACTTGTCCTAGCACTCAAACCACTTTTCCATTTCTGTTTTTTTTAATTATAGCCAGCTCACTAAGTCTATTTAGATTCTATTAGTTACTAGTGCATTATAGTTTATCTAACATCTTATAATTCTTATTATCTATAATCTACTATAACTGTTGCGATCGTTACAATTTATTTTTGAAAGATTTGAATATTTAAGACTATATAGCAAAACTAAAGTAACATATTAGAGGCGTGGTGGCGGATTGGTAAAGCATTTGGCTTCCAAACCTGGAGTCTCAGGTTTGAATCCAGGTGAAGACTGGGATTTTTAATTTTGGGATCTTTAGGGCACCTCTGAGTCCACCCAGCTCTAATGGGTATTAGTTGGGGAAAAGTAAAAGTGGTTGGTTGTTGTACTGGTCACATGGCACCCCTGTTAACTGTGGGTCACAGAAACTGATGACCTATAAATCATCTGCTCTATAGACCGCATGAATTATAATTGTAACATGCCCTATCCACGGTAGAAATTTTTTATTTTTTTTTATTGAGAATGTCTTGTGCTTTTATTGAAGTTAATCAAAATTCCTGCCATCAGAATTGAAAAAAAGCATTTACCTGGTACATCTAAATTGTATTTATACATAATCCAAATAAGCTGCTCCTGTATTAGTATAGATTAATGTGTGATTATGATCTGAGTTTGTCTATGTGCAAAAGGGCTCAACACACAGTCAGTAATATCCAAATTAGTGTCTCAAGTCTTTGGTTTGGGTCAACATAAAATAGTATGTAACAGACAAATAAAACAATAATGAGTTGAATATTATTGAAATTATTTAATCAAATTTATAAATGACTTTTAGAGAAAAGTTATTTTAATTTTATAAAATTTTCATCTTTCTTTGGACCTCTATGGTCATCTCAATTTGAGGAATTTAAATGCACTAGATGTTTTCCTAAATAGTCTTTATAATCCAGAGTCATTAATGTTAAAATATAAGATGGTATAATTAATATTTAAAAAATAAATTAAAGAATTACTAGTTTTGGTAATAAAATGCATTCTAAAGCATTTATTTTGGCTTTGAATGTATTTCAGGCATGAAAAATATATAATAAACAGAGATGTCTGCGAATAGAAAACGTATTCTAATAGTCGGAGCTGGAGCATCTGGAATTGCAGCTGCTTACTCCTTAGGAAAACATGCAGAGAAATTTGAAGTGCACATATGGGACAAGAGCTCATTCCCTGGTGGTGTGGCAACCACAGAACCAATAGAAGGTATGCATTCTTTCTTATTGCAACATTTTAAATACTAAAAGTGCAATAACAATAATGATCACAATAAGATAATTATATTTATATAATCTTTTATGATAAAATGTTTGCTATGTGAAAAAACAAAAGATTTATTCAGTAACTACTCAATATGACGTTTGAAATGTACTAATTAATATATTTATATATAATATATTTCATAAAAATTATTTTCACACATATTTAAAAGAAAAAGTTTCAGACCTTGCGATCTATGGGGCAGATGGTGTGAAGGTCAACTGTTTCTATGGCCAAGGATTAACAAGCAGGGTGTTCAAACCCATGACCCCAGGTTCAAAAGCAGAGTGCTTAACCACTCAACCACCATGCCCTCTCACACATATATACATGTATAATTTATTGTGATAAATCACTTTATGTTGTATTATTACAAATGTTGGTGGGGTTTATGTTAAGTTGTAGATCATTAATATTAAGTACATAAAAACTTGTACTATCAATGAAATTCTTAAAAGCATTTGTTTTTTAGACTAGTATTTATCACTGGCTACACTTTAATAGATTTACAAAGTTAATTGAAAAACATAATTATTAACATTTGGGGGGGGGGGGGGGGGGGGGGGGGGTAATTATGTCATGATGTAAATTTATAAAGATATATACATGTTTTTATTTTTACCAAGAAACAATATTGTGTCATATACAGTGTGCTGTGTAAAACAACCAAACAGAATGATCACATGCTTATTTAAATTGGTTTTACTCAGGGTTTGAAGTTCCTGAATCCATCCGACTTATGACTCCTGGTTATTTTCACTGACCAATTAGATTTTGAGAGATGGCATTGGAATTTTGTTATTGAATCCTTTATCTGAGCATTTAAATATTTGGAATGGTCCTAGGTTTCACTTACACTGGTAAATAGATAAAGCAGGGCATATAATTTGTTATTGATGGCTATTGTCAAGAAAACATGAAACAAGTGAATAAAATTTTACCTACCCAATAGACTATCTCAACTGAGATTTTTAAACACATTAGCTTATGTTATGAATATATAGATCAGTCAATCTTTCAAAACCACTCATTGAATTGTTTTAAAAGAAAAGCTAGATTAAACTCCTTAGATATATTCTCAACAAACTCACTTGGCCTAATGGTACATTGTACCATTACTCATATGTTATGTTTAAATGTTAGTATCTAAAAAAACGTTTTTTTTTTTCATCCTAGGTCCAGGTAATTTAAGAATAAATGATGGAGTTCAAGGTGGGTGCCCTACATATAGAAACACTCTCAATTTAATGTCTGAGTTTGGTTTGGCCACCACGCCAGTCAAAATGATGATCTCCTTTGGGAAAGGTCCAACATTCTGGACCAATCACAGTACCACAGAGCTGATTAGAAACCACAAAGAGGAGATTAAAAGATTTGGCGGCACACTGCACCTCATTAACAAGCTTGAATTCTTCTTTATTTTTGTACCCATCTCACTGGTTCTCAACTGGTTTGGCTACTCTAAAAGTTTCTGTTACGAAATGGTTTTCCCTTTGACTGCATTATTTTTTGGCACAGGTAATCAAACTCCAAACGTATCAGCTGCCATTGTGGCCAGAGTGTTCTTGGATGATGACTTAAGGTTGTTTGATTATGATCCAGAAAATCTACTCAGTCAGACCCCAGAAATGTTTGCGTTTCCTTACCTATGTGATATGTATGAAAAAATTTTGAGTGGGGTTACAGCTGCTTTCCACCAAGAAAGGCAAGTATCTATGGTGACAAGGAGACAGGGTCAAGTGTATGCTGTGGACGAAAGTGGAAAGGAGGAAGTTTTTGACGAAATAATATTTGCTTGTGATGCTGAATCTGTGCTCAAAGTTCTTAAGTCGCCAACTTATCTTGAAAGAAAAGCTCTTGGCAATGTTCGCTACTATAATG